TATGATATTACGTGCATTCATTTATTTAATAACGTTTAAAAGTTGTATAAAAAAATAAAAAAATATTATCCCTATATTAAAAAAATAACGAAAGAAAAGAAAAAAGTAGTTATTACATCACTCGAGACTTTCTTTTTTTTATATAAAGATAATTTTTTATTATTTTTTATATTATTTAAATAATTAAATTTTTTATTTATTTAAGATTTATAATATTAAATTTATTTATTTATTTAATAACATATAAAAATTATATAAAAATAATAAAAAAATTATCTCGTTATCATTTTTATAAGTACAATTCCCGCTGGGCATCTACCATCCTGCCATGTCACTAACTCGCCGCGTGGCATGGCAACGAGGTTGCCGTGGTGTATATTGCGGCCCCCGCCCCTAGTAACTTGCTCAGTTGCTCTAGGGCGTGGAAAGGCAAAACCATAACTTAAGCCTCTGAACTAACCCCAGAATCGCTATTAAGCCCTCAGACTTTAACTGATGCATATAAGCCCCTAAACTCTGCAATCGAAGCAATTGAGCCCTTACTCCCACTTCCGTCTTAACTGCTGTTAATTGCTGTTAACGGCCATTAACTGCCTTTCAGGGACTGCCTCGTGTGACAAAATATGGCCATCTCATACCTAGGTGACAAGGGATTTTGTATTTAATTTATTCACCTGAATGTTAAAAAAAAAAAGAGAAAAACATAGGAATAATTTTTTAATATTTTTTTATAATATTATATATTATTTAAATAATTAATTCTTTTTATTTATGAGTTTGTTTAACTTAGCAATGCTAAGGATACAAATTAAAAATGTAATAAATACATTTTCTTATAACAGATTTATGTTAAAAAATATAAGTTAACTTTTAATTTTTCAATTATTTAATTAAATTCATCAATTTAACACCAATACTAAAATTAATATCAATTTTCACATTTTTATATACATTTATGATAAAAAAAATACCCTTAACATATGTCATATTAAAAAATTCTTTTATTTATTTAGAATTTATGATATTACGTGTATTAATTTATTTAATAATATTTAAAAATTATATAAAAAAATAAAAAATATTACCCTTATATTAAAAAAAACAAATAGCAAAAAAAAAAGAAAAAAGTGGTCATTACATCATTTCGAGACTTTTTTTTTTTGATATAAAGATAATTTTTTTTTTATTTTTTATACAATTTTCACATATCATTAAATGAGTAAATATATTTAATATCACTTGTTTTAAATGAATAAATAATTTTATTTAACATGTGCTTTAAGAACATAAATTAAAAATATATTTTATCATAAATATGTATAAAAAATATAAAAATTACTATTAATTTTGGTATTGATGTTAAATGGATAAATTTAATTGAATAATTAAAAAAGTAAAAGTTAATTTTTATTTTTAACATAAATTTATTATAAAAAAATATTTATTATATTTTTAATTTATGTTAATTTGTGCTCTTAAGATAAAAATTAGATAAATTTATGATAAAAAAATTAATTATTTAAATGATAAATAAAATTATTTTAAATGATTTTTTTCATAAAAATAAACAAATCAAATGCCAAATCACTTGTCAAGACATAATATGACTATGTTTCGCGACACGAGGCATCCCCGAACAGCAGTTAACGGCAGTTAACGGCAATTAACGGCTATTAAGTTGGCTGTGAGAGCAAGGGTTGAATTGCTTTGATTGCATAGTTTAGGGGTTTATATGCATCAATTAAAGTTTAGGGGTTTAATAGCGATTCTGGGGTTAGTTCAGGGGCTTAACTTATGGTTTTGCCGCGTGGAAATCTAGTTTGGAACAAAACTTTAATAATGAAGACCGAAAAAGGCCACAATAACAAGAAGGCTAGAAGAAGTAGAGCAGAAACGATGGAAATCTACCAAGGATATGTGGAGGGCCGCTCTGCTCCTTCCTTCTGCTCCTCCGATCATCGACTCCAACCGCAGCAAAATCAGACTCCCCATTCCTTCATTTCTTGAACCCAGTAAACCTCGAAACTTCATTGCCTACCCAAATTCATCATCTCTTCCTTTCCGATGTTCCCTTGATCATGGAGCGGTGCCGGCCGGAGACCATCAACCGGAGGTACAATTAGCAACTTTCAATTCATACCCTCTTATTTGTTCACTGTCATTTTAATGTGCAATCATTTTATTTTATCTGACGGGTAGGGTCAGCGGAACCAGGGATTCTGGAAGAAATGGAAGGTGGGTATAGTTCGTGTTCTGAAAATTTTTCTTCTTTTTTGTTGTCTAGAGTTTTGATCTTATCTTCTCTCAAGTGGGTATGGTTCGGAACCATGGATTCCGGAATAAATGGAAGGTGGGTGTGGTTCGAGTTTTGAAAATTTTGCTTCATTTTTGTTGTCTAGAGTTTTGATTTTATCTTCTCTCAAGTTTGGAAGTTTTCTGTGCTTGACCCATTATGGGTCCATTTCATTTTGTTCTACCTTGGAAACAAATGCCTTGATGTTGATGTATCAACTTAATCTTGAATTGGTATGCCTCATTTACCCCAAATTTTGGCTTAAAATATTGTAATTATTGCATGGTTCTTTAATTGAGAGAATGTTTGTAAATGGAAAGGCTTTTTATTTTTATTAACACAATGGCCTACTTTATGTTGGTAATGGACTTTGGATTATGAACTGATTTTTTTATTTTTTATTTTTTATGAGGAGACTAATTAAGTTCTCATAATTTTCATGGATGAGCTGCTTTCAGGCTAATTCAGCTGAAATTAGAGCGAAACTGGCTAGATTTGGGCTTACAGCTGTTCTTGCCTATTGTTTGTTTGATGGAGTGATATACACCTCTTTCTTTGTCCTTGCATTTCTTGGATATGAGAAGAGTACGGGAAAGAATCCTGTGGCAAATCAATCTTAAGGCATTATTAGGGGTAAGGAAAACTTAAAGTATTTATATGTTCATCTAAATTGTATGCAGCTTAAGGGCTTGGTTTTGGTAGTTAAGATGTAATTATTGGAAGTCTTGCATTTTGATTCTATTATGGTCTAGTTATGAAAGAGGAAGGATGGTGGTTTGGTTTGTTCCCCATCTAAGTTTTGGATTATTAGCATAAAAAAAATAGGATTTGTATATTAATGGGAAATTTGACAACTTCAATATATAATAAGAATTTGTTAATATAGTTAGCACAGTCTATAATTTGTGAGGTAAATTGAATTGGAGAGATATAAATGTTTGAAGTTGGTTGAGATTTAAATCCAACTTGCAGTCACAAACTTCCTGCTCTGCTACTTCAAAACAAATTAATAGATGAAGTCATGAAAGGAAGTAAATTACAACTAAAAAGAAAGGTTACTACTATAGGTTATGGCCAAGAAAAAGGTTATTACTATAGGTTTGACTAGCATTTTGCACCTATTTTTTGATTTTGATAGCTTACCTTGATAGTGATTCAGGCATGTTCAGATGCATTATAATAGCTTTATTATCAAATACTTTACGGCATTGAGATCATTTCTATGGAAAAGAAAAAAAGAAAGAACTTCATTTCCTAATAAGTAGTAGACAACAATAGGACATCAGAATTTTATGTCCCTATGTATACATCATACATGTGCAGTTCCCTGACATGAGTCTGTTTAGGTTTGACTTCCTCTTGTAATGTGTCACTGTTGTGTTATCCACTAGGATAAGTGTTCACTCCAAAAAAATTATTGACTAATGTGATTAAAAGTTTTGCAAACTGTTCACTTATAGAATTCATTCACTTTTTTTTTTTTTCTTTTCTGGAACAGTTTCATTGATTGCTTGCTTGAATATATGCAATTGATGTCTTTCATATTGTCCTTTTTGTTTTGGAATGCTGTTCATTTATTTCCTTTATAATGTTCTGAAGGAGAAAAGGAAAACAGGGAAAAAGTGGGGAGGGGTTGTTTCCCTTTCTGATGCTTTATACGTGACTCTGTTATCATTTAATTTGGTGGCAAGTTTTATTTTATACTTCCAGATTGTTGTCCTGATGTGGACTGGAAACAACATTACAAGACCATTTCGGGTTGCTGGAGCGGTTGCATTGGCCCCTTTGATGGATAGGGGATTGAAGAAGATCCAAAAGTATTTTA